CGTACTTCCACTTAAGTATGGAGTTGAAAGAACACTTCAACTTTTACACAAGTCAATTTTTTTATATAGTACTTGTACTTCTACTCCAGTACTTTATACATCTCTGTTCAGAGGGACGTCTTTAAGCCTCTTTAAGGGAGGCTTCAACCAGTCAAAAACGCGTATTGAAGTGGTTAGAAAAGAGAAAAATAAAGGAATAAGAACCCGTCATGCTCAGCACATCAGACCTGAAAACACCCGATAAAGCCGCTAAAAGTCCCGTTCTGGTTGTTTGCACTTGCAAAGTGATGAAACCAGAGGCGTGTGAGCTCATGTACGGAGCCTTTTTTCCTCCAGCAGAAACAATACGCCGTTTTATTCTTTTGATTAGAGACACCGACTTGTCCCGGCAGCTCCCAGATAGACTGCAGTCTGCAGGTATTTTTATTTATTTATTTATTTATTTAATCAGGACAGTGCTCATTAATAAACAATCTTACACGTCAGTACAGATTGTAAATGAGCCAGATGCTAGCATAGCTGCTAATTTACATCTGTTGTCCTGAGGCAGGAAGACAAAACAACAGATATATACGGATATCTTACAGATATTTTCCTCCAATCAGGGTTAAACTCCCTAAATCTGAGACCCCGGACGGGTCCCGTAATCTGAATTTACACCTGTGACTCCACCGGTTTGAAACAGTAAACCTCTGACCTGGAAGCAGAAAGCTGATGGGTCCAGTTTTACCACGATCTGGACACTGGAAATAAAATATATCCAACTATTTGAGGAGGAAAAGAAAGCTTTCTAACCCAAATAAAGCAAAAAGAGGAGAGAATATAAGATTGTTGCCATAAGGATGCCGCTTACAGAGTGGATGATCAAACAATAACAGTAAAAGTGTGAGTGGGGGGGGTTCTTTTAAACTTTGTCCCTCACCGACATCTGAATGAGAGTTAGTTGCATCTATTTTGGTGAAGATTTGAATAAAAATTCAGAAAAAAAAAAACATATTTTTGCTTAAACGTCAAAAAACGAAACCTAA